ATACATGTGACATCAGTTGGTTAGTTAAAATGTTTTGAAGCATTGAAAACACATTTTGGTCCAAAAACAACAAAAAGTACGACTTTATTAAACATTGTACTGTCTTTCGGTTATGTCCGCAGTGACGCTGGTGACGTAAGACGCTGCTGACGTGTTCTCTGGTAATCAGTGAACACGTCACCATCATCACTGCGGACTCGTGAATGCAGAAACGGAAGAGAATACAATGTTTTAACGTCATAGTTTTTGTTATTTTTGGACCAAAATGTATTTTCGATGCTTAAAAACATTTGCTCAAAAACAAACCCACTGATGTCACATGGACTACTTTGATGATGTCTGTATTTCCTTTCTGGACAAAGATAGGCACCTTACACATTTACAATGCAGGGACAGAAAACTCTTGAACTAAATCTAAAATATCTTCAGTTGTGTTCCGAAGATGAACAGAGGTCTTAGGGACTTGTAATCGCATGAGTGCGAGTCATTAATGACATTATTTTTATTTTTGGGTGAACTAACCCTTTAATAAATTATCCTACAAGTACACACCAACTCACCAATTTATGCATTCTAGCATTTGCATTCTTTATTGTTACAATTTTAATTTGGCACAGGAACTTAAAAAGTCATGCTAGATGCTGAAAATCAGCAAGACATGACAAAATAAACCAAATTAAAATGTTCAACAAAATAAATGTTAATTTATTAAAGGTCCCCTGACATGAAATTTTCACTTTCTGAGGTGTTTTAACATTAATATTAGTTCCGCTAGCCTGTATTTAGTCCCATCGTGTCTAGAATGTTCAATCGGTGTAAACCAAGCTTTGGCTATTTTTCTCTTCTCTTCTTTTTCTCTTCCTTAACTTGGGCCAATACAGAACTGGCCTCGATGAACGTCTGAAAATAAATTGACCGAGCTACCCAGCAACAATTTCTGATGTGTAGCCTATTGTTCAAGTTCAGACAGGTAAGTTAATCTTTCTATCGAATCGTTCAATACTGTTTATGCATAAGTCAAGCCAGTGACTAAAATATCAACTTATATCAACATCATTTCTTTTAGTAGGATGAAAATAATCTTATTTAAATTGTGATCAAACTATACAGAAAGTGATCAAAGGACAATCTTTCCACACAGCGCAAGTTTATCTGGACAACTCGTTATGAAATCAATGACGCACACTGCACAACGACGCTCTTACTGTACTGTATGTATATCAGCGTGTCTGCATTGGTGAAAGCATTAGAGAGAGCAGAAACTGGGTTACAATGATAAGACCTTCATTCTCGCGATCAACAGACTGTCCTCTGCTTGCTCAATGCTCATCACAGCAACATTTTAAGTGATGGGAATAGATCTAAATACTTCAAAATCTTCTCACGATTCGTTAATCTCAATGGCTGTAATAGTAAAAACGTATAATAGCTGTAGTAATAGTATTTCGAGAGAGTTAGAAAAATGCCTAGAGAGAGGCTAGGAAAAATTAGCCTGGTTCTACCAGACTCTCGTACATACATTTCATTTGTACAGAGAGTCTGGCCTCCCTCAATTGAGAAACGTTTCCTTCCTTGTAGGCGGGTTCACTATTAAAGTTCAAATCTATTGGATCTGCCCAGAGTCACTCACGATCTGCCATAGCCAATCGCTAATGTGTGGTCGTGAGTGACGTATGTCATGCGCCGAAACAACCATAGACAGTAAAAGAAACAAGAAGTCCGAACTCCGAATGATCAGAGGATTAAATTTACAATAGGATTTCAGTCAACGAGAGCTGCAGGTTTTGTTAATCTAGGAACAATTATTAATTCGAAATGTATATTTGACATGAAGGACAGTGATTATTCAGTCAATGGTCGAAGCTGTGTCTAATCATTACAAATAGGCCGCTGTGGTCGTTTCTGATCTGCCGCAAATGCTGTAGCAGCTACAGTGAATGATCAGTCTGTCTCTATCTGCAGATGTGTAATAAACAACAATTTTTCATATTACGTATTTTTGTTTCTTAATTACCTTAATTATGGTCTTCAAAGTATGTGTTTGTACATTTTTATATGGCATTTAGTTGTTTTTTTTTATTCAAACAAATTAACCATTGACATCTAAAACTGAAAATCAAATATAGTCTCCAAAGTATGGGTTTTCAAATTTTTATTTATGACAATTATTATTTATTTTTTTTAATCACAACCAATTTGTATGATTTACAACATGTAAAACTGACACACCAACCTCCTGCACGAGTACACAAAGGGGCTCAAATGTTCATCACAAGAATCAGTAAATTTACTGTTGGGAATCTGAGCGACTGACATGACTCCTGAGCGGATCTTCAACAATAGTTTAGCAGCCAGGACTCGGGGCTTCCGAACACCGCGAACACCAGGCTAAAGTCCAAAATGTCACGGTCATTGTGCACGAGCTGCCCAGCACAAACTTCCAACCTTTCTGCCTCCTTCACTTGGTCCTCCGTTGTGCAACAAGAGGTGAGACGACAACAATCCGGCTTTAAATTCTGTATATTCGGCAGTTTCTTTTCCAACAACGGACCGAATAGCTTTTCTCACGTCTTTCTCCGCTGCCATTACTGCACTCAAACTGACGCACTACATCAACGTCATCGTTCTCAGCCACTCCCTCTATTCGCTGATTGGTCCTACAAAAAATAGATTTCTGGAAACCTAAGGATATGGAGCGGTCCCAGACGCAGTACTGAAGGAAAATGAAATTGAGCGGAAGTGCGTAGGCGGGCGCAGCCAGGCTAAGGAAAAATGCCTTAGAGGAAAAAAACATTAAGTAAAGAAACTGCAAATCTGCATATTAAACACTGTTTTGCATTTGAGTTTTCATCACACATTTCATACACACACCATAAAGAAAAACAGTAAATTAAAATAAAATAAATGTAAAGTACAATTACTCTGTATTGGTATTAACATGAATCCCTTTCTAATGCCACACCCTGCACATATTTAGACTGTGCTATGCAGTGTGTTGAGAAACAGACATACAGTGTGAAAGAAAGACAGAAAGAAAGATAAAGATAGGTCTTTAAGCCACAAAATAGGTAGCAATGGTCCAAACCAATCTGCCACGTCCTTCCCCTACCCAACCCCTCCACCTCACCCCTCCCCGCCTCACACCACACTAGGACCAGCAAGTCAGATATTACCGTTACAGAGCCTCTTACATAAGCAGCCAGGGACACAGTCTGTTTACTGTTGCGTAATAACTAAAGACAGGGAGGGTCTAAAGTTGATCATGGCTAGTGGAATCAGGCCAGAGGAGGTCTGAAATCATGTTTATTTCTTCTTATTGCTACACTATGTTACCACCATAACACTGTTAACCAACTAGACACATGTACAGCTGATCCTACAACATACAGAGAGAAAACATACTGAGCAAAGCAACCGGTGATTGTGCAGTTCAGTGAACCCTGAGAGAAACAAATGATTCACAGGCTGAACATTTCTTTAAATGGGCTGAAGAAATAACTATCCCTCTTCTTTTTTTTCTGTGTGCATCTCTTGATTAAAAGAGCAGTCTGGGGTAGCACCATATTGGGAAGTCTAAATCGAGGCTGAATCATCACCAAGATAAACATACGTGCAATTTATTATTTGCCCTGGTGCATAGAGAAAAATATCCACCAAATACACTTCATCCTGAACACTAAACTTAGTTTAAATCTGTAGATCACTAAATCTGTAGTTTTAGGGTTCAATTAAGTGTTGTTTTCATAAAAGAAAGTTTTGCAATAAGAAAGAAAATGTGTATTGGTAGATGTGTATTCTTATGCAACTATTCCAGGGCACAGTTTGAATCACACTCCTTTAACATGCATCAAGAATCAAGACACAGGAATTTTAATTAAGAACTATTAACTCAGCAAACTGCAGAGAATGTCAACTAGTGCCAACATGCAAAGCATCAACAAAACAACTTCAAATTCTGCTAATACAAATCATTGTTATCAATATATCACAATAAAATCACCATACAACAGCTTGGCATGAAAAAAAGTCCCAAAGCGTCTAAAGAGCTAAGGAAGTCCATAATTTATATCAGTTTTGTTCTCTTTAAATAGTACTGGATATTTTTCAGGCAAGATAAAAATTGAAACTGATATTCTGATTTGAATAGAATTCTATTTCTTCAAGTATATCTCATTTTGTAATCTATAATTGTTTCTATTATTAGTGCTTTGTTCTAAATGAATTCATATGTAATATGTTAATAATTAGTAAATAATAGTAATAACAACTATTTATTATTATTAATAATATAATTAATTGTTTTACTTATAAAATATGTTTATTATATGTTCATATTTTATTAATCATACTGTATTTTCTTACAGACTACTTTGGAGTTACTTATTAGTAATTTCAATAATAATATTTGGTTCAATTATATGAAATGTATTAAAAACAATATATTAAAAAAAAGAATAAAAGAAATCTCATAAACTAGCCAGTTCATTTAGACTCTTAAGTGACATACTCATGAGCTGTGTAAATTCTGCAAGAAACTGCGCCTTTGTTCAGATTCCAATTGACATGCTAAGCAGAGGAAGAGACTTGCATTTTTCTAGAAGTCTCTATGTATTCATTCTATATGACCTTGAATTCTGAGGTCTCTCCTAGCCAGTAGCAGAAGAGCCTGGATATGGTATGGAGACTGAACAAACAAAGCAGGCCTGGTTACAGGGCACCATTCCAACAGAGGGGGAAGGGATGGCCCATACACAGATGCAGCCTTCACACACACACACAAACAGCCCACAGACCCTGCCCTCTCTCCTGCCCCTGAAACTCTCTCTGTCTAAGAGCCACTGGTAGAATATTGCAGAGCTTGCTTTGGTAAAAATTATTAGTTGTGAAATGTCGAGCTGTTTCTTGGCTTCTACTCACTTGCTTCCATAGAGTATTCCCCTCAGAATTTCTTAATCATTTACCATGCAATGAGAATTTTAACAAACCAACAGCAAACTTACCATTAGGGCATTTGAGGCACAAACGCTGTGAAAACCATGATAGAAAGCAGCAAACTGCCTGTAGATGGACTTATTCAGTAGGAAATCAATGTAGAGCTGGATGTATTCTGTGCAGGGACAAACAGATCAGTCCTTCAGTAGCGGGAATAAGACAATGAGGCAATTCATGTTTCAAAGCGAAAACACAGTCATGCACATAAGCAGAGTGGAGACTCTCTCACCTTTTCTGTTTAGGTTGGTAACAGGAATCTTGTCCCCTCCTGGTTTCAGATTATATGACTTGACCACTCCAAGTTCTTCCTGAAAAACCTAGAGGAAAATGCATAGAAATGACCTCTGCGTCCATTACCTGTATAATTGATCATCTAGATCAATCGGACAAACATGCTTATCTATTAGATACCATGGAATGAGAGAAAAGTCTAAGAGCAAACATCCTGATTGTACCGGTCAAGTTTACCTGAAACGTGGTGTAAAAGTCCTCTTCAACGTTTCCTTCATAGGTAAGGAGTTCCCCAAGCCCATGAGCAAGATCCTGAAATGTACACACAAGCATGTACATTAGACAAATATTCTGAATTTGCAACGTTTTATATCTGTTTTTCTCCTTTGCAGAGGAAGGAACACTTTTCAATACAAATCATAAAAAACTGCATTGAAAATACAATGGAGTTGATAATGTCTCAACATATGTAACATTATGTGAAGTATCTGTGACCGTGTGAGCATTTAATCTTGTGTAAAAGGGCTGCACTTCATTTTAGTTCAAAGTCAGTGTAGCTAATAAAATAGTACTGGTAATAGCAGATGAAAGAATGTAGCGATTAGAAAGTACCAGTAGCTTTCTTTTTTAAGAAAGTAGCTTCAGAGGTTCCACGTTCACATTACCTTTGGAAAAATTTTGAAACAAGGAAGCAAACAACGCCCGTAGGCAGTTATGTAAGTTTGGAGGAAGCCAGAGACTGTTAAAACAGAACATCTGGCTCAATTAAATCTGACTTTGCAGTAACATGAGTGAAGGGAAATCAATAAGAAAGAGGAGCTTAACTAGTTTTTCAAAATACAATCAACTTCTTGTACATTATCTTTCAGTATACAGACTAGTCTGTATAATGGCAAAGATTGTTGCTTCAGAAGAAATAGCTAATATTGGGCGCCCTCTGCTGGACACAGGGGAGGCAATGGCTGAATCTGAACAAGCATATCATTATGTCTCAAAAGAAAACAAATTAGCTTTGTAGTACACAGGAACCATTCAGTCATGATTACCCCGTGCGTTTCTAATTGAAGGAATTTAAAACTTACTAAGTTTAATAATATACCATTTCAAAAAACAATGATATAGGGGAGAGCAGGGGTAGTTGGCAAACGGTGTTGTTGCTTGCTACAATGTTCGTATCTCATAGTTTTGAGTCAAAAGTTGCACAAATTGCACAAATGTTTGTTTTCTTCAGCGATGACTTTGCATGTTAGTCCAATTCTGTTGGGAAAATAAGTGAATACCCTACTGTTCAAAGTTTTGGAGTTGCTAAGAATATTTAATGTTTTTGAAAGAAAAGTATCTTATGCTCACCAAGGCTGCAATTATCTAATCAAAAATACAGCAGAAACAGTAGCATAGTGAAATAACTACATTAATCAATTTAAAAATGTAATTTATTCCTGTGATAGCAAAACATACTGCACATCATCATTATTCCAGGAGTGACGAGATTCTTCATGTACTGTGTGCTGATTTGGATTTCTTAAGTGTTTGAATTAATACTTGAATTATAACAAAAATTTCTTATTAATATAAATGTAAAAAAAAACTATTGTGCTGCTTAATATTTTTTTTCAAAACCATGATACATTTTTTTTTCAGGATTCAGTATTCTTTAAAAGAACAGCTTTAATGACCTTACTGAAAAACATTCAGTACGTTCAGTAGGTCTGATTTTAATAACGAAACGTCCCAAACTTTCGTAATTAAAATCAGACTTGTATACATACAGACGACTTTGTTTGCTAGCTTGTTCATAATTAACAGTACAAGTATCTGTAATTGGAAATTGTGTACTTGATATTTTGCTAAATTAGAAACAAGACATGGTAAACTAGCATGTGAAGGATTAAGGAGTTCAAAATAAAATAAAATCATGACACTTCAAAGGGTGTTGTGAGAATCACAAAACAGGCATAACTAAAAGAAAGCCAACAGAGTGCTATTACCAAACAATGCATCATCTGAGGCTTACTAGTCGCATCCAGGAGACAACAGGCGTGTGTGAGCCTGTAATGGCTGGGTGACACCCTGGAAGTGCAAACGATAACGCAAATGCTATTTCTGCTTCCAGTGACTATTCTGTCAGCCAATTACACTGTTTATACATGGCTGAGCTAGCTCAATGTCACCATGTAATGAGAAACAACCTAAATAGAGCATATAAGCAATTATATGGGCTGTAGAATATTTCATATTGGAATATAATGTGTGACACTGCACAATGACATCTGGTGGTTCACACTAGTGACTTACAAACTCTGTGTTCATCAGGATTGGACTGGTTAGAATATTATGCCATGATGTGTGTCACAGCTTGTATACATACAGGCATAATCTGCTGGAGGTCCTCCAGGGTGAGGGTTGCCATGCCAACGGGGGTGTCGAGGTCACACGGCACAACGGGCGGGGTCAGCAGCTTCTTGTAGACACAGGGGGGAAAGCGGATGTCCAGTGTGATGCTGTTATATACAGCCAAGCCCATAAGCTGACAGATAGGGTTAAGTGCACACAGCTGGAGAGATTCACAGATCTGACACATACCTACTTGCATAGCCTTCTGTTACACAATGGCTGCGTCCGAAACCAAAGTCAACGCTGTCTGTCTAGTATGTAGGCACCTTTAGCAGTTTACTTTCCATAGTTGTATCTAAATCAAGATCAAGTGAGCTTTAGTCATAACCAAGCAAATATTTAATGGTTGCAAAGCTTTTTTTAAGAGTTTTAACAATTAAATAAATGTTTAAAAAATAAAATATACAAAAATGCACATTTTTTAAATTAGCCTATCAAACTACACAACCATTCAAAAGTTTGGGATTAGTAATTGCTTTTTTTTTATTTATTTTTTTTTTTTAAAGAAAGTAATACTTATTTGCACAAGGATTACATTAAATTGATTAAAAGTGACAGTGAATACATTTATAAGGTTATGAAAGATTTCTATTTCTGTTTTTCGAACTTTATATTTTATAAAGAATTATGAAAAAAAGTTCATGGTTTTGACAAAAAAAATAAGCAGCACAATTTTTTTTCAACAGATGATAATAATGACAAAAGTATTTCAGCAACAAATCATTGATTTAATCCATATATTTATATATTATTTTTTAAAAGGATAATGCATTTTGGCAAAATTCAGATTTGCCATCACAAAAATGAAAAACATTTTTAATATTAAAAAAAATTATCTTAAAACATAATATTTCACAATATTGCTGGGTTTTTTTTAATCAAATAAATGCAGCACAATATTGCTGTTTTTTTTTTTTATCAAATAAATGCAGCCTTGATGAGCATAAGAGACTTTCAGCAATAGACAATTCTTACCAATCCCAAACATTTGAATTGTAGTGTATTATATGCACAGGATTGTGGGATCAAAGGCCCGTTAATAAGGTGATTAGGATTGGAACTTAACTCTGCAGGAAAGTGGACATCGAAGGCCAGAGCTGCTCTATATGCTAAAGTACTAATGCTTAAGGAATTAATTTTTCTTTAAATTTGACTGCCATAAAATAAAAATTTACCCCATTCGTTTTCTAAATGCACATTTTTAATATTATTGTGAACAATTCGCCCATGCATGTTTAATATATCATAACTCAATCTCACATGTCAGACTTCTCTTTGGTGACATATTGCTTGCCTTACACTTTTTTCCCTTTCAATTTTCGAAAAAGTAAAATTCAAATCCCCAGGTAATGCATTTAATTAGCTGAAAAAAAAGTGTGGTTGGACAGTTCATGCACTCAACTGTCACCTCTTTCCTTATGTAGCTGAGGGGGAGGGACAATCAGACTGACTATCCGATGTTGGATGACATATTAATCTTACAAAAACCATACACTAGAATAGATGGTTCCGTACATAGTATAATTGCATAATGTTTAGTACATGATTTGAGACACAACATATCATTTCTGTGCAACTATTAGCAGCAAATGTAATTGTACCGTAATATGTTTGAGAGTCCCAACTGAATATCAACTGAAGATGAAGAAAGCCATTGAAACGCTTTGGTGCCACTAGTGTGCACACGTTCTTTCATATTTCCTAATATCGCCTCTATGTCCTCTAAAGTATCACAGTAAGATGTATGGAAGAACACCCAACAGGTGTATAATACATTTAGAGGAAAAAGTTAAAAGCCCTCTGAGTAAGTGCTTTCAGCTGTAGTTGACAACTCAACCCCATGTGCTCTCCATATGTGTAGTGAAGGCGATGGAAAAAAAAAGTCCTCAGCTCAGGAGAGAGAGAGGGGAGAGAGCAGACAGGCGGGACTGTTTCCATGAGGACTGCAGCAATGAGACAACACAAACCAAACTCTGGCTGTTCCTAACGGGACAAAACAAAAGAATCTTTATTTCATAATTTTTCACTGATGTGACGCAGCAGTCTGTGCTGCAGGAGAGAGAACTCAGGCTCAGGCTAGGTCGTGCACTGGACCCACAGTCAGATGTATCAAGAAGCAAAAGCCAGGGGGGCAATTAGAGGGGTAAAAGCAGGACATGGCAGTCTTTGGCTGCCACCGTGTCTCTCCTTACACATTCCCAAGAGCACCGTGTGGATCAGGTCTCTACAATGACACGTGCCGCCCCCGCACCACATCATTTACAAACCATTTCATAACTATAACTATATCTGTGCATCTTTCATTTGTGCCATATTGCATTATAACCCTGTGTAATTAACATTTAGAAATCACATGGCATAAAAATAGCATATGCTCCATTTTCACATCATCATAGCACAGATTGGTGGCAGAAAATACATTTCCCACCAGAAAACAGAAGGACGAGAATGAACCTCTGAAGTGTGCGCCAAGCGGGAGCTGACTATATATTTATGCACTATTTTAAGTTTGTCACACCCACACGTGACCACCTATACAGAATAAACTGCAGGAAATTGAAAGGATACGGCTCCAACCAATCGGAACTCGGAGTAGTTGTCACATTTCCAGCTGCTGAACCAATGGCACTGGGACTCCTTCACATATGTGAACATGCCTGTAACATGACACACAGACACCAAATAAAACAATAACCATTAACTAGCAAAATGAGCATGGTTGTGTGATTATTTAAACACACTGTCAATATAACATAGGCAAATAAAGTAATGACTGACTTAAAAATATTAATAGTGTTAAAATAATAATTGCGATTCCATTAGAAAAGCACTTAATTTGGGGGTATAAATTCTCAACTATTGGGAATTTTTTTCCAACATATACCTTTCCGAAGTTTGTTAATGAGGAGACATATTTGTTAAGATGATAAGAATACATTTTAATATTTAATATTCTCTTGAGGAACTGTATTTCTTGAAATCTTGAAGTTTTGCAGCATATATCAGCTGTATATCATCCAAGACTGGCACTATTTGTCCTGACCATCTTACCGTAGTCTGGGTGAAAAATCTGTCGAATCAGGAGAAGAAACCACTCTTTTGTGAGTCCACCCATGTCCAACCCTGCTTCCCCAACAAACGTCACTTTCAGTTTTTTCTTCAGGTCTGCTCGCTTTCTTGAAAGCTATTAAAAGAGGGAACACATTTATGGAGGGGCCATTTTTCCAAATTAAGTCTTAGCCAGACTCAGAACTTTCCAGAATATAATGTAAATGCTTTTGGCTGAAAGTCCTTTCAGCCTAGGAAAACAAAATTTAGATGTGTGCTACTTTGTCCAGAGTAATGCAGGCAAAAGTCTGTCCTCCTATAGAGCTAAATAGTTTTCAGTGGTTCAAAGGAACTCATGGTAACATCTCCAGGAACAGACGCAATTCTACGTTTACAGATCTGGAGCAAGAAGTATTACCTCATCCAGTGAGTCACTGACCAGCTGCAGACGCCTAACTTTAATGTTGAGAAACAGCAGACTCATATCCACCCTCTGCCTGCGAGAAACCTTGTCCACCAGGGTTTGCTACATTAGACATAGAGAGCATTTATCAGTAAACATTCCCCTGAAAGAAACAAGTTTACAGAACATGGCTTCATCTAGGTTTTATTCCATGCCTCTAGATGTCTTGTTTCTGAGTAACATTTCTTATATGGATGATGCCTGTCTATTTGCGGTGTATGATGATATTATTTTCTAGCCACATGTCTGTTTATCCTACAATCTGGACACATATGTTTGGGAGGGAGCCATAGGAATGGCGATTATGCTGCCCCACCCATGCTAGGATTGTTATCAGAAAATACTCTCGGAATAGAAGACACATTCTCTTAAACAGAGACTAGCTTTTTAATCTAAAGACTAAAGTGAGAGCTCTTTAGGCATGTGAATTCTCACCCTGGCCATGCTGATCATCTGCTGCTCAGAGTCTCTCTGGATAATGGCCTTCTTCACCACTGTGGACAGGATGAAAGGGAACTGACAGAAGGTGAACCTGAGAAAATATAGATCAGAAATGACAATTTACCTTAGCATCCTTACAACAAGGTCAATTAACTTATGAAACAAAATTAAATGATTTTATTAAAATAAAGACTTTAGATTCACAGAATTTATTCTAATGTTTATTTTAATAATCCCATTAAAATAGTTATTTCTTTTAAGCATACACTACCAATATTTGGGGTGGATGAGATTTAAAAATATTTTTGAAAGTCTCTTACGCTCACTAAGGCTGAATTTATTTGTAAAATAAAGTAAAAACAGTAATTCTAAAATATTATTACAATTTAAAATAACTTAGTAGTAGGCCACATAGTAGGTGGTGTTAAAAGTAATTTTATTACAATTTGTCATGCAAATTGTACAAATTTTATTACATTTGTTTTGCACTAGAAAAATCACCAATCACTGGGCATTTCAATCAATTTAAATAAATATTTTATTAACATACATTAATAATCATGAAAAATATTTTGAATTGAACTCGAGTGGACTCGGGAATAAGTCCGAGTCCTAAAAAAAAATATTAGAGTACGAGTCAATTCCGAGTCCAAATGCACACGAGTCCATGACAAGACCAAGACCATTAAAATATGGTCTCGAGACCGAGTTTCGAGTACTACAACACTAGCCTGGTTCAACCAGACTCTAGTTAATTTCATTTGCACATAGAGTCTGGAACCGCTCCATTGAGAAACGTTTCCTTCCTTGTAGGCGGGTTCACTATTAAAGTTCAAATCTATTGGATCTGCCCAAAGTCACTCACGATCTGCCATAGCCAATCGCTAACGGGGTGTCGTGAGTGACGTATGTCACGCGCCGAAATGGCTGGAAACAAGTCCGAATGATCAGAGGATTATGTTTACAATAGGATTTCAGTCAACGAGCGCCGCAGGTTTTGTTAATCTAGGAACAATTATTAATTCGAAATGTATATTTGACACGAAGGACAGTGATATATTTTTATTCAACGGTGGAAGCTGTGTCTAATCATTACAAATACGCCGCTGTGGTCGTTTCTGATCTGCCGCAAATGCTGTAGCAGCTACAGTGAATGATCAGTCTGTCTCTATCTGCAGATGTGTAATAAACAACAATTTTTCATATTACGTCTTATTGTTTCTTAATTACCTTAATTATGGTCTTCAAAGTATGTGTTTGTACATTTTTATGTGGCATTTATTTTTTTTTTAGTAAAACAAATCAACCATTGCCATCTAAAACTGAAAATCAAATATCTTCAAAGTATGGTTTTTCACATTTTTATTTATGACAATTATTTTTTTTTTAAATCACAACCAATTTGTATGATTTACAACATGTAAAACTGACACACCAACCTCCTGCACGAGTGCACAAAGGGGCTCAAAATGTTCATCACAAGAATCAGTAAATTTACAGTTGGGAACATGAGCGACTGACATGACTCCTGAGCGGATCTTCAACAATAGTTTAGCAGCCAGGACTCGGGGCTTCTGAACACCGCGAACACCAGGCTAAACCATCCGTCCAAAATGTCACGGAAAATCGAATGTCATCCAAAATCGTGCACGAACTGCCCAGCACAAACTTCCAAACTTTCTGCCTCCTTCACTTGGTCCTCAGTTGTGCAACAAGAGGTTAGACGATAACAATCCGGCTTTAAATTCTGTATATTCGGCCGTTTCTTTTCCAACAACGGACCGAATAGCTTTTCTCACGTCTTTCTCCGCTGCCATTACTGAATTGAAACTGACGCGCTTACATCAACGTCATCGTTCTCAGCCACTCCCTCTATTCGCTGATTGGTCCTACAAAAAAATGGTTTCTGGAAACCTAAGGATATGGAGCGATCCCAGACGTAGTACAGAAGTAAAATGAAATTGAGCGGAAGTGCGTAGGAGGGCGCAGCCAGGCTACTACAACACTGCTGGCTTTTATGAACAGTTGATGAGCATGACAGAAGACAGGTGTGGTAATTAACAAGGGTGTGCGGGTGATGACTAAAGAGTATTGTGGGAAATGTAGTGTGTAAATAAAACAGGCATGGCGGACGTCCTGGAGCTGTGACAGTTGACAAACAGGTGAATAGGGCATTGGAACGGACTAGGGAACTCCTCTCACTGGAACGATCTCGGGAAATTGGGGAACTCCTCTCACAATGGAATGGACTCGGGAACTACTCTTTTGAAATGGACTCGGGGAATGGACTTGGGAACTTCGTCCTTGGGAATGGACTGGGGAACTCCTCTCACTGGCATGGTCTGGGAAACTCCTCTCTCAGGTACCGACTCAAGAACTTCTCTCTTGGGAAAGGACTGACAAACTTCTCTTTCGGGAACAAACTGGGGAACTCCTCTCACTGGAACGATCTTCGGAGTTAGATCAGGTTCTGATGTAAGCTTGGGAGTTAGAGTGAGGTCCAATGCAGACTCAGGAGCAAGGACAGGCTTGATACCGAACTCTGGGACTGGAAAAGGCTTGTGACGGTACTCCGACTGGAGTGGGTAGGGGAGACCGCAACTGAGTAGGGCTGGCGTCTTCCGCAAACCTTGCCAACGGTGAGGGATGAGCCCCAGCATATGATGCCAGAGTACCTGGGGTAGCACATACTGGTGCTTGGAGAAAACGCTGGTTGTCCAAACCACTCCAAAAGACAGTTTTCAGTGTCTCATCGTTCCATGGTACCTGGTGAGTGAGCTAAAGGAAATCCTCATCATAGAATTCAATTGGGCAGCCATCTTGCATTATGGAGAGAATCAGCGAGGCTGGATCAAAGGAAATGGAGCTCACATCAGCTCACATATCACAACAACCAGAGTGGATGAGGAATGAAACAGTCCAAACAGGTAATTTGCACCACACACACCTTGATGATGGCTGAAGATTACGATAATAATGTATCTTATTTTTGTAGGAGCTGAAGTGACAATAATGGAGGAGACAAGAATCAGGAACACAGATGAAAGGTTTACAAGAAGACGATACAGTTAAGTCAATGCAGGTAAGTAGTGATGTGGCATTTGAACCAAGGCGTAAGAGCTCATGTCGAGCATAAATGGGCGTGCCAGATGAAGCCGTGATTCGAGATTGTTGTTAACGTAGAAATCATGAGACCAATTACAAACAAAGCCGCACTTTCTGTCCAATCACGTACGCAATTCAGTTTGCATGCATCATGCAATGTTCGAAGCCCCAGATCTTACTTTACAAGTACGTTTTCATTCAGACTTATTCAATTACATTTTTTTAAATACCCTGTCATAAAATGAATATGAAGAATACAAATTATTGCAATTCATATATGTGTGTACATGTTATGGGGTGTGTGTTTTGTTTTGTTTTGATTTCTTGTTTGGTAGGTCGCGGTGGAGATGAGGAACATCTGATTCATATTAGGAGGTGGAGATATAGGTTCCGGTGTCGTGCATGGAAGGAGGCGCATACGGGGAAATGACATCATCCACTGTTCGTCTCTTGTGCTCTTGGTGATAGCTGGATTTGGACGACTGTTGGCACTTCGGAAGACTCCTAATGGCATAACAGCTCTTATTGCACTTTGTGAAACCCCTAGATTTCTTCAATAAACTACGTTGGTTATATTGATCGCTCGTGTTGGTTTCCTATATTGTTGCGGCCACGAGTCACGAGTAATTCACTTTAAAAAAAAAAAAAACTTTTGCTGATAATTTACTCAACCCCATGTCATCCAAGATGTCCAAGTCTTTCTTTCTTCAGTCGAAAAGAAATTAAGGTTTTTGATGAAAACATTCCAGGATTTTCTCCATATAATGGACTTCATTGGGAACCAAACAGTTCAAGGTCCAAATGAGAGATTCAGTGCAGCTTCAAAGGGCTTTAAACGACACCAGACGATGAATAAGTGTCTTATCTAGGACCCTTTGAAGTCATGACTCAAAAAAAGATTTGTTCATTTTGATGAACAAGTTTGAACAGGAAAGTCACGAACACTCATCACAGAACAGAGCAAGGTGAGCATTTATGCTTAAAAAACTTGAACTTTTTTATTTAGTTTTTATATTTTATTATATTTTTTCTGAGGTGAACTTATGACATTCGCTTGGTTTTTGCATTCAAAAAACATCAAAATTAACTAATAAGAAACTTATTAATAACTAATAAGATATTTTCTACCCTAGTTTTGAGCCTAGCTCAGAAACGCAGATTTTATGGGCGTCTCTATGAAGTGTTTGCAGGTGATGACCAGGGAGGACTATGGGAAATGTAGTGTGTAAAGGAAACAGGCTGTTGATCCTGACAGTAATCTACTCCTGTTAAAAAAGCTACATTTTCAGCAGCCATTACTCCAGTGTTACATCATCCTTCAAAAGCTAATTTGGAGCTGAAGAAACATTTAATTTAATTTGTATTCTCAATGCTGGGAACTAATATTTCTATAGAACCATGATAAAAAAATTAGGATGAAAGGATTGATTTATATCACATGTATTTAAAAAATGTTCATAAAAAATGTCTTTACGGTCACTTTTAATAAATTGCAAATTGCGTTCATACTGAATAACATTGATTTCTTTAAAAACCTAACCTAATTGTAGTTTATTTAATTGTTTCACACATGAATCTTACTTTGCATCATTGTTTGGTAAAATATCCTTTAAAAAAAGGCAGAATTGCCTAAACAACATTTTAGTTTGAAGATATATTTTTGCTGTCACACCTGTTTGAATTTCCGTGAGCCTGCCACGTGTGATAATCCTCCATAAAGTCTATATGGTCCAGGGTTAGGTTGTAGAAATCAGTGAAAGGGACAATAGGGAGACAGGAAATGCTGTTTGCTGCATCTGTTAAAACAAAGATCGATTTTTTTTTTATTGTTCAGAATTATTACAGGTAAATTATTACGGGAAAGCATCTTGACTTTCGCCAAGCCCTCTCTAGTGGCTAGCACAATGGTACTCACTAAGAAGGGAGAGGACTTTAGTGGCTGAGGGAATCCACCAAGAGCATTTTGCCATGGACGGCAGGTCTTCTGGCTTGGCAGGAAATAGGCGAGTGGTGATGAAGAGCTGCAAGCGCTCCACCAGCTGTTTGAAACGCTTTGGGGGCAGCCTATAAGATGAAACATCATCATAAACAGAAAGATATAATCCATACAAACTTTTTTTTTTTTTTACTTTCAGTTTGTGAAATGCCTTGACACCAGCTGCCTTGAGTGAAGCATTAATTGCTTTTAACACAGAATTTTGAATGGCAGTGTATTATAATGACATTTCACACATAAATTGTACAAACTGCACAAATTCTATTTAAAAGAAATAAATTATTTAAAACAAAAAGATCTAGACTTTTCCATTGTTAATTCCTCTCTTGTACAAACTGGCTGCGTCAGACTCACTTTTTAAACCAGTGCATCAGGAAATGGTGGTCTGCTTCAGCCAGGGCTGCTATTTGCCTCAGTAAGTGTGCATAGATGACATATGTGGCGGGGCTGGTGTACTGAGGGTTCTGCGACACAGAGAAGCATTTCAGCAAACTTCAAAAAGGAAATATAACTTTTCGTTTAGGAGCAGAGAAAGAAGTCTGGCTTTTAATAAGAAGTGGCAGTGCAGCGGAAACCAGCTCTTTTCCTCTCCAGCATGATCTCATCCCTTCCTTCGGCACAGTGAACACAATATACAGAGGCTGCCTGACATTGGTAGCAGACAGATCAGCCCAATAATTGCCTCGTCTTTTCAATTTCACCGTGTCCTCCGTGGAAATGTAGGTCAGGGAGCCCATCAACAGTCTGGAGATGAATAGCGCTATATGCAAAGGATGACATCTGTACATACTTCGCTTATGAAAACGTCTAAACTCCCACAACCACTGATTCCCATCAAATGGAGAGAAAAAATTGTGTCATAAATCTGAACCCCAGAACAAAACGAATCTTTGCTAACCAAGCCATCGTCTCTCTCTCTCTCTCTGCCCACGGCTTCCCAGCCTCAAATCCAGTTGCTGTGTCCTTATTTGGACAGTCCCAGGCCAGCCTGCACTGGTCATGTGTGAAGTAAACACTTAGCTCACGATCTGTCTGCACTAGAGCAGAGCTATGGCTGGAGTCAATGGGCCATGTGGTGAGAGAGGAGATCAAGAGTTTCCTGCAACTCCGGTTCGCCTCTTACTCAGCCTGGGGTGTTTAACATGGCTGACAACACAAAGGGCAACTCAAAGACAGATTAGAGCAATTTTGCTGTATAAGTGCACATGTACAGGATCGCACACAGATAACTGCTTTGGTTTTGCAAATGGAAATTACAGGTATTTCAGAAAAGTATCACATGTCTGTGGGTTCCGTGTAATGAAGGCAATTTTGAATCAATGCCATGGGTTTGGTCACTAGTAAGAGGAGTGAAGAGACCAGCAGTGTATGTGTATCTAAAAGACTAAAAAGTAACTAAAAGATGCTAAAATAACAAATTTTTCTGTAGCGCAGCTGTAGTTCAGTTATTCTCAAAACTTATTTTTCTAATGAACATCTAAACTCAACACTACTGTATATTTGTTAATCACATTGTATTGTGCATGAAGCTTTTTAACCAAGTTGAGACAGTATTCAGACACACTCTCCTAAACTATCTTTTCTCTCTCATATTTTAGTTAGTGTTAGGTGAATGATTCATTATGATAAATCAGTTTGTTCATTCGGTTCAAGTAATTAACCAAATGCATACATAAATCAACTAAGGTTCACAGATTAAATAAATTAATCACTTAAAAGTGCAATCCTCACATCTTTTTTTTGTTGCACATTATTTAATTACATGTAATGTTTTCAAAAGTACCAACTTCGGTACCAAGTCGATACATTTGACAACATTTACATGCTCATATTAATGTTTTCAAATTTATATAAATTCTGGTTCTGAAACATAATTAGTTGTATTTTTCTGCCACTTTAATATGAAAATACATTTTAGAGAATAAATACTGCTCTTATCATTTATTATAAGAGCAGTATTAATAATATTATCTTATTGTTATTCATTTAGAATGTTGTCCTAATAAATATATTCAATGTAGTTAGCTACTTTATTTTAGTAGCTAATTTTGAAGCTACTTTTTTTAACTTAACAAAAACTTAAATTCTAATAACTTTAAAGTAGTTTTACTAAAACTGAAGATCAACTAATCAAGCCAAAACGTTTTAGTACAAGAAAGCATTGCTTTCTTAAGAGATGAACAGAAAAGAAAAAAAAAACGTAAAAAAAACATGCATTTCTTTATGTACAAAAAGAAAACCCAAGTGTGTAAAAACAATGGCATTACCTGCACAAGAACAAAATATGCTCTAAGGTCATCCTTTGTGCGGGGCCTAAAAATACAGAAACAAAGCCGACAGTGATTCTTTTTTAATCGCATTTTTCTGCAAAGACTTCTTGATCTCTTTTAGTGCTTCAGTGAGCAAACACAATGCACTACTCACCCTTTCCATTCTCTTAATAAGCTATTAATAATTCCCTTCAGGACTGATTTCTGAGTGTCCGCGGGCTGCAAATTAGCCAGATTAAACCAATTTAGTTAAAATCAAATTCAAAACAACAGAAAAAGCACTGTGCACTGGCTTACTGTGTAATTCAATTATAAGAGAGGTTCAGTCAGTTTTTGAATTGGAAAATTTCTTTACGTACCGTGTGGAGCAAGGAATCATAAACAATATTGACAAATTTGATGTTTATTCCTGAGTCTTCAATAGTGTTGAAGGGAGCATTTGCTTCTTTCTAAGGACAACATTACAACATAAAAACATTAGGCACACTTTTTATCCACTTACATTTTATATATACTTCCCATATAAAACGGGTGGTAAAACATTCACCTCATATAAAAATAACATTTTCTGATGAAACCATATGCAGCTGTTCTTTTTTACTCCCTCAATGAGCTCATTGATTCATTTGGAGACCAAAATGTTCAAATGTTTTCCACAGATTTCCAAGAGTTCTTATTAAAAACATTGACAATACTTAAAAGGATGTTTCATTCATAAAATGACCATTGTTCAAGAGTCTAGATAAAAACACATTTAGATAGGTCAATTATATGCTATTAGTAACTGTGCACGGGTGAAATATATAATGTATATATATATATATATATTTTTTTTTTAAGTTTTATATATTAAAAGATTGTTGTTAAATTTTACACATACAAAATTAACAGAGAATTTACAGTGAGCTGTGATTAATTTGGGCCCTTAACAGTAAACTTATATATATTTCAAGCAATATGAAAACAATCAACAGCAACCTAGTTAAAAGTCTACCATGTACTAACATTTAAATTAATAATTTGACACAATGCACTTATTGTGCACATATAATTTTTAAATTGTACTTGTTTAAAAAAATACCATGTAATTCACCTTTGGCTAAGCCCCGCCCCCCTTAGTTACTGTTGCTACATCCATCAAACTTCATCTGCGCTCTGCATGGCTTATGCTGTAACAGCTCTTCCTGCTAAAATGTTATCAAACTTTTATAAAGCACTAAAAGCAGCAAATAAAGTATCCGATAGAAGTAGGCAAAAGGGGCTGCAATATGCGTTCGAAGGCTATATTCAAGACAGATGAAACACAAGAAACAACAAGGCAGGCAAAAGCATAACAGTCAAAAAATGAACCACCGCATTTCCTACTAATCGGGACGGAGGCTGGGACTAACAATATCAGGGAGCAATACTGTTCATGCAAAGCTGGGTAGGTCTCTATTCACTTCTATAATCGTTATTACAAAGCAAACAGACTACACGATTATAGCGTTGTATTTATTAGCAGCATGTGCTAGCGTGTCAACAACCGGTATGAGAGTCATAACCTAAAACATTATAAAACGGTCTAACTAATATAACTTCACTCACAGTAAGGTTAGAAGTAAAAAAAGATGTGCTTGTTGATCTTTGCGGGGTTTAGCTGACTGAGGACATCCACACAGTTTAATCCAAACACGACACTTGTCAGGATTTTACTTCGGTTTTGGGAAGGGAAAAAACGGTCACCCCCCTCCAACCTCTCTGGGAAATGCGTATCTGTGTTACAAACGCCTGAGGCACAACGTTTAACCATATTTTGGATAAAACTACGACGGTAATAGCCTGCCGAGACCAAAAATATGAGGCGCCTGTGTTGAAAGTCAATGAAGCGCTGTGAAAAAGTGTCCCACCTCTGTGGGAGCTCGTTCTTAGCTGCGCTGTAGATTGGTCAATCTACATTCTAGGGCGTGGCTTAGCCAAAGGTGAATTAAAACTGACAGCTGTAATTTATTTTTGTAATTAGATCTATGATTACACTGTTGACCCTTTCCTTACATCTTAGCCTAGCCTTAAACCTAACCATATCATGAAATGTGTCCATAACCTTACCTGTATCCCACAGTATAGCAGCAAATGGGATTTGCAATGCAACATAAACACAATAACTACTTTATACAGTTATTTTGTACATTATAATTAAAGACACCTATTATAAAGTGTGACAAAAAAACAACACTTGAAACCAGAACACACTGTATTGGGAGCTTCAACACACCTTAAAGGCACCATTGAGTTCCAAAAAGGAGTTGAATGTGATCAAGTAGAAATCATGGACTTGCTTCCAATCCCCTGAGATAGTTGCCCTTTCAACATCGTCCCTACAGCCAGACAAAGACATGGTTAAACATACTGTAACTGATATGTGAATACTATGGGTTACTGAGGGAAGGAGAAGTACGTACTGAAACTCTTTGGCAGTTTTGGTTCGAATGGGAATAATTGGCTCTGAAACAAAACGAGCTTTCACCTCTGGAGGGAGAACATCAATAGAGATACGATGCTTATGTCTCACATCTGGAAATAGTGGGGGAAGTTCTCTCACTGAAAACAAACACACACAAAATGAATTAGACGGCAGCTCACAAAATGAGCAAGGTGGGCCGTTCATCATGCCCTCTAAGACCCTCAATTATTTGTCAAGCTGTTATCTTACCAGAAACAACTATCAAAACAACGACTCTCAGCATCCCAATAACTACCTGGTGACATGCAATTACCATCAGCACAAATTGTTATTCTATTTAAAGGAACCCTAGTCCTTTCATTATCAACAAATGCACTGAATAAAGCTGATTGATGAGTTAAAATTAACAAAACTATATTGTACTTGTGGACTAGAGTCGGAACAAGCCTCAGGCCCATGTAGTGTCATAGCGAGTTCCCACCCATCTCATCTGTGCTAAAGACATGTTAGACGTGAACACAATTTTGCCTTGTCAGAGACTTGAAGATGAATGCATCACATAGACAAGGTCTTTGATCTCCAAGACAAAGAAAGGAAAACAGCTACTTAAAACAGTGAAGTGGTTATTAATTCAGAGCAGCCGAAGACAGCTTTGAAATGCAATGAGTTTTTTGCCGTGTTGTAAAAGGGCACTACCTTTAAAATCACTCATGCATATCATTTTAAGGCCATAGTAACCTATGCTTGTGTTACCAGCTTGTAATTAAGTTATCTAACAAGAATTAACCAAAAGTGGCATCACTGGAATGAGTCTGACCTTGTTTAACTGCAGGTAGCAGGAACGGAGAGGAAAAACTATGGCTCCCTGTCTCTCTTTTGTGATTCAGGGTGGAGATGAAACTTCCGTAAGATGGGAAAGGGAGCTTGGGTCCACGATCCAAGCTCTGCTGATGAAACAATCTGAGTTATATTCCAACATTTCTGCAGTGCTGCAGTACACCTATGCACATTTGGCACTGAAAAACAGATACTACAATAAACTATTCTACACAAAACTGACAGATTAACATAAAAAGAAAAATAAATAGTTGGCTACTAATAATATGCCCCTCCCTCTTATTCAAATATTTGAATAAAAAGAAGTATCAGTTTAAAAAAAACAAACATATTAAAACATATTTAAACAATAGTGGATGTAAACAAAAACGTGTTAATTGAGATTGTCACTTATTGCGCAACCAGAAGCACCAGTGCTGTTTTGCAGACACAAATTATGTTTGTGTTCTGTGTGCTTTCAACACTAAGAAAATACTAATTCACTAATTCACAAGCAGTGATGCATTAAAATGGGGGGGGGGGTCTAATTTATTGTGTTTTAAAGACACAAAAATGCTGCATTCATGATAACATATATTTTTTGATATTGTATATTTGTAAATTAATACCAGTCTTCAATAGCCTATTGAAATGCAGAAAAAAAACACTTACATGGTTTAGTATAGGAGGAAGTCTGTCTCTATCCCTTTCTTCAAGTGGACAGTTATTTTCGCTCATGTTTAGACGCAGGTCCCCTGAAGAAAAGCCTTTCGAGCACAGTTACATGGCTTTTTTTTCTGGGGAAAAAGTACTTTTCCCGTCTGCGTAATCTCAGTCCTCACTTTTCTTTCACTTTGAGAAATACAGTAGCGAGTCCAGTCTGTCTGTTCTTTTTGCTAAGCAGGTGAGTTTTTGAGACCACGATGACCAAAATGTCTGGTATTTGCTTGTCAAAGAGAACAAACGAACTAGGATAATAATAAAAGTAAAAAGAAAAACTACAAATATCTTCGCGACGCTGCGTTTAGTAAGTGAAGTAACTTGTTGAATAAGTGCCGTGGCGTCTGTGTGCAGTCCAGCTGTACGCTGGCGCCATGTTGTTGTGGATGATGATGATGAGGAGGAGGAGGATGATGAGGAGGAGGAGGTTTGTAGTTACGGACTTGGATACGGCCTCTGCCTTAAAGGTGCAATGTGTAACAAAGTTGATTATCTATTAACAGAAATGCAATATGACATCCATAACTATGTTTTCAGTGGTGTATAAAGAACTTACTTAATTAGCCGTAATGTTTTTATTACCTTAGAATGAGACATTAATTAGCTCCATAACCGAGGGAATCCCCTTCTATGAAGGTCGCCATGTTGTGACGTCATATTCCTACCGTAGCCGAACGCGAACAAACAGTGCTACAGAACGCGTTTCATCACTACCTTGAAAGAGAAGTAGCGGAAAGCTGGAAGCTAGTCTTACACTCCGTGAGTAGTGACTTTTCCCTTGTGAGTGGTGTAAAATATGTAGTTGGGATTGTTTCATGTAACTTAGTTCTCCCTCGCTGTGTTATGGGTTTGTTATGTTGGGGATAGATGTGCTGTTACGCTCGTGAGACAGCTGATGATTAGTATTCATGTCATTGACCGTAAAACAGTACTTTACAGGAATCATAACCCGTCGATAGAGACTTTTACTAAAGTCTTTTATCACTAAAGTCGATCGCGAAGAATTTTAAAAATCAGAGAAAAAAAGTCTATTGTGTGTAGTAAATAGTATCTATGGGATGCGGAGATGACATTATTGTAACAGCGCGCGCACTTCCGACCTTTGGACTCATGCAGACGCGTCCCAGCTCAGCCACAGTAACAGCTCATATTAGCCAGCTAAACTATTACTACCCTGTTAGAAAAAATATATAGCTGCTCCCTCGCTGTATTATGGGTTTGCTACAGTATGTGGGGAGAAATGTGCTGCTGGTTACGTTTGTGAGACAATCAGCTGATTATTATTTTATTAAATTATATTAAAACCCTTGATCCTCACCTGACTATGGCTTTGTAAACAGACAGTATTCATGATGTGGTTTATAATGGACTGTGGTACAGAAACAGTGACAATGTTACACACTCTTGGCTTACTCTGGCTATTCTCTGCTGTCTCAGCCGACGAGATGTTTGTCCCGTTTTAGCAACCGTAGCTTCTTCGAAAGGGAGGGGTGAGCAGTGGGCTGAGCCCTTAGTGCAAACCTGGTGCAAACTCGCAACCGAACCACTAGATGTCGCTAAAAGTCACACATTGCTCCTTTAACGTAACACTGGGACGTGCTGCTGAGTCAGATTTATTGCACACCTCTAATTAAAATCTTCTCTAGAAGTAAACATACACCCAGCGAAAATCTATTTTGTATGTAACATCACAATCACAATTTGGTGGTCGAAGAATAAAAAATACTAAGGATGTATAGCCCGCCACATAAAGTGAACACATAGCCTACTGTCCACTAGTGGATGTACTAATGTGTAATATATCTGAGACCATGCAAGTCACTGTGCTGCGCACGAATAATACAGCGTCAGCTTTATTAGTCAGCTTTTTTTTCTCATACCATATTTTTGGGGGGCGTGGCCAAATGTGCTAAATATGGCCTAAAGATGAAACGTGATTTATATGGCTAATATAATATAGGCTAACCAATAATGTAGCACATTGTAATGATGTTAAATGTAATATTACTGTATCAGCGTTTAGAACATTTCACCACACCACCAAAAATATGGTAGCCTGCTGCTATATGAGAGAAATTTACAGGGTAGCCTACATTTTCAGAATCTGTGTGAAATAGCTAATTCTCCAGTGGGTAATCTGAGCATTGTAAGGTTCTTTTTTTTAGAGCATTGTTATTGGGGTTTTTCTTCAAAAAAATAAAAATAAAGGAGAAACAATACAAAATACAAATTGAAAAATCCTTCCACATCACAACCCTATATCACACCCCAATCCTCCCTCCCACAGTGCCACTAATAAACCATAAACATATTAAACAAGAAAAAAGCATTTAAAGTCATATTAAAATTAAAATTATTATTAAAGTCATATTAAAATAAAATTATTAAAATTATTATTGTTTCTTCAAACAAAATGCAAATTTTTCAAGAGGTACATAGTCCACATAGAAGTAGTAGGTGGTTTAAAATGTAGCTTCCACCTCAAAGTTAAAAAAGCTAATCTAACAAACCTCAGATTAACTCCCCTTCGTTCATCCAGTAATGAAGTGCCCCCCAACAAGATAATGGGCTCCCTGAGTATATTAATACCTACAACTGTGCCAATTATCTCTAAGACCCCTTCCCAGTAAAACTCAAGGTCAAGACCACAACATGTGTAAAAGTGGCCCTCTCTACACTTTACACCTGGGACATAGCTCTGAATAGTTACTTTTAAAGGCGTGTATGTCTTACTGGGGTGAAATAAACTCTGCGTATCCATCACATTAAATTGAATGAGTTTATGGTGGTGGCTATTGATCGACAGAGTCTGAGCTTTCTCGCATATGGTTCCAACTTCCATTCATCATCACTGAATGAGCACTCCAGGTCTTGTTCCCATTTAGATTGCATTGTAAGGTTCTTGTGCATCAGCTTTCTCTTATTGTGACCTTGACGAGAGGTGTCAGAATGAACAAACCATATATTTTGCTTCAGTATGCTACTGCTTTGTTTTTCTATCTATCATAACCAGTGAATAGGAGTGTCTTACATACATGTAGACACATTAAAGTTATAATCTAAGTAATATAGATTAAAGTGATTATAATCTAATTAATACTTATGCTTTATAGGCTGTATTTAATTTGACAATCTATAATTTAAAGTAATAAAGGATAAAACAACAGTTAATAAACTCAGCTAGTCGTATTGACCACCAATAATTAGCTCTGCATCTTTAACAATCTCATAGAACCTCCACTCATGTAACAACATTGCACTGCTGAAACACTTGGCCAGTAGATGGAGGAAGAGATCTGTCTTTGTAAAATGTGAAACGTATGTACGATATCAATTGCAATGATATGGATCTTAGTATAATTCTAACAGCATAACACTGACAGGTTAAGGGATTTAATTTGTTTCAATGAATCTCAATAGGATATTAAAATGATTCAGTTGAAGACGAAAAAAAAAAAACATTGTTGGAGAACCACAGAGAACACGAATAGCCTATATAAATAGAACTAAATAGAACTAAAATAAAACATCTCAGAAATGCATAAAAACATGCTACATTTATTTCCTCAATCGAAAAGTTAATGTTAATGTATTTTGAAGTAAAAACAAGGCCCTTCTTTTGCTGAGACCACACTTTTGAAATAATCTCTGTCTTTCAATTTACACTAAACCATCACTTTATTTCTAAATGTGATATATGTTCCGCAGTTGTGACCATGTCAGGCATCCGCCTTAACTGTCTCCTGCCAGTCAGACGAACATTCATTTACAGTAACATGAGTATTCCACGACTTGGACTCTGTAGTTGGTATTGACAAATATGGCTCAGCTCTTAGAACTGGATACACTGTGTCGTACAACTGACCCTGACAGCATGACATTAAGCCATAGACTAACACCATGCTTTACTGTTTGATTTGTTTATGTCTTTAGATTAGCACATTTGAAAAGGATCTTCTTTATTGATGGAGCAGACATTGAAACCAGATCATAATGTTTTAATTAACCAGACAGTTTGTACAATCTTTCCATTAATACATCCAGCATATGGACTGAGGATAGATGTTTGGTGATTGCCTTTCCTTCAGTGTCCTAATTTAATGTGGTTTAGGACACAATTGACTTGGACAACAAAAAGCACATTCAGCCCTTTAAGAAACTCAGATGTTAATTCGGAAATTCAAAAACGTTTGGAAACATGCCCTATACTATGGAGGCATATGGGTAGCAATATTCAATTTGAAATGTATAATATACAAAATGACAATGCAATGTAAAATGGCACTGCATTCTGTATTTAAATTTACATTTTACATTACCATTCTAGCAACGTTTGGTGCAAAATGAAAATGTCAGTCACTGCATCAATAAATTCTTTAGCAGATGAAGTGGAGTGTGAACAGAGAAACTGTAGTATTTCCAGATATTATTACGTGTATATTAAAATATAGTTAAGTTTTTGTTTACTTCAGTCCACACTGCTGCATTCGGCGATGTACTATCCATCGACTAACTCCATATAATACAAGGCCGCAATATCTTTAACTTTTAACCCATACATATGATACCCCTCTATGGCCTAGCAGGGATCTCCACGGGTGGTCTGTCTGTCTCCCCACTCCCAGGCCTATCCGAATACAACTGTTCTCCTACCACCTTTAAGAGGTCATGTAGCAGCCAAACGGGTGTCGGCACCTGATAAGGCAGAAAATTCTCCCAGACGTTCCAACAACATACTTCTTCTATCACCTACATACGCGTAATAAACTTTGGAAATACTACCGTATGTTCACACAAATACCTCTGCCAATGATCTGACTTATCCTTGTAATTCGTAAACAAAGAATTTATTATCTTTATATACATGGGACGGGTAAGTCCATGGAGGCTTGGCTACCATAAAATAAAGCAACTTTCTTTTTCTGTAGCCTACTGGGAGTCCAGAGCTGGTAAATCTCCCGATATGTCCTGTAACCTAATTACAGGATATCATTTAAAAAGAAGTCCTGTAACTATGTGAAAATGATGCTAAGTAATGTTAATTTCTGAATGTTAATTCAGAATGATGCTGAGTAATGTTCATTTCTAAATGCTAAGCTAGAAGTTCCAAGGGCCACTAACTAAGTTTGTGCCAGGCTGCGACCTTGTCTTCCCATTCAACAAAGTATCTCCACCCCTATTGTAGAAGAGTGCGTTAGAACAACTAAGAAACGGATGGTTTGCTCAGGGCTGTTGATCTGCTGAATTTCAAACAATGCTATACATTTTTGCTTTCCTGTTGTAAAACATAATCTGTTATTTTTGGTTTAGTTTAATTTGAATGGACTTTTAGTTTGTTTCTATTAAGTATTCAGTCTCCTTTGTTCTAGTTTCCTGCCAGAGTTTGTCACTATG